TATATATTTTATGTGGACCATTAGCCATTATCAGCTACCTTCCCAATGAAGGAAACAGAACACAAAAATATTGACCAAACTTTAACTACTTGAAATAGTTCCAAATGCTCATGAAGAGGCTTTTATAATTATCTTAATATTCGTTCTTTAATATTTAATATTCTAATATGGGATTCATTACTTCTTGTTCCTGTTGCAAACTGTAAAAAAGTATCCTGTGAAAAAACTGTTTTTAAACCATCTTTTGTTCAACATTTCTGTTCACATTACAACTTTTGTTCAAAATTTAAAAAATTCTGCTCAATAAAGTGAAGATCGTAATGCCAGCCTAGATAAAAAAAACTAAAATTAATTACAGATTGGAAACATTTATGTGTATCAGGTAAAGAAACAGATGGCATTTACAAATAGATCAGTTGTACAGTACATTTAAAGACATATATATACAAGATGAGTCATTTCAAGTGGTAAAAACACTATTATATTCTGCACATTGAGATGAACAAATGTTTTTGATGTCATTATGCACAGAAATGCCTTTTTATTACATGATAATTTCTTAATGGATTGTTTTCCTCTAGGATGTCTGAAAGATAATCCCAATGATGGCCTAAATCGATTGACATATGGGTGATTCATAAATACCAAAGGGGGGAGGGGATTTGACATTATGCTGCATAACATAGTGGTAGCGGGATGCATTATTTTTCTTTACAGAAATAATTCCAAGCAAAAAATATTAAAATTACGGTGTACGATGAAGACTATGTACCTGTAATCGCAGTAGGATCCATGAAAAGATGATTCCACAACAGTATATAATACAAAATATTTACAAATTGTTTATATAATTTCTTTATAGTTATTATGAAAAGCATAATTATTTGGAAAATGTTAAGCTCGCATTTTAAGTATGTTTCAGGGAGGAGTGGGATATCCACTGTTGTCCAAATTTGCATTATGTCATTTTTATAGTAGATGTAAAGATTAATTATATAATAAAACATTTATTAAATCAAAACATAAAAGTTTTAATACTGTAAATATTTTAAATCCCTTGTATTCCCCTTTTTAAAATGACAATTAGGGAATTATAAAATATTTTTCACCGATGTTCCTTTAAAAACAGCTGAGGCCATTAGCAACCATTATTATTTTATAAATAACTAACATTTTAAAGATTATAAAAAATGGTAATAATTAATTACAATAATTTAGCTCAACAATTTAAATTAATTTGTCAAATTCAGTAAAATATGGAATTTGTTGCACATTTGTAGAAGCTCTCCAGGTAAATTGCTCAACATAAAACCACTAGTATTTGTTAATAGTAATTACATAGTTTTAATTTAATTCTCTTTGTATATTTGATTAATTTGTTCTATAACATACATGAAAGAATAAATAAAACAAGTGCTTTTGGCATTTGACATGAGAAGTAAATCTCCATGACCAATCATGAATCAGTCTTATGTCAAGTCAAGTCAGTCATTGCCTTATATCCCTATTGGCTAAGAGCTCAGTGTCACCCTTAAATTTGAGGTTTCAAAGCACTACAGCAAAGAAATTCTATGAAACATTTTCTTTAAAGCACTTTATCAACACTTTTTCATATAACTTTCTATGTACAATGATGGGCAATAAATAGTTACTTTTGTTATGAACTTGCCCAGCATTCATCAATTTAACTAACATAATTAAGAAATTATACAAAACAGACACCACGCTAAGCCAGTTGATGGTATTAAGAAAAAACATAATGGTAGAGTTTTAATATGAAATGCCTCACCTTGTAGAAGAATCGACATACGCCTACTCAAAAGATACATTCAAGGAGAAAGAAACAGAAGTGCTCCTTTAAAGCTTTATCAGTAGATGTTGATCAGTAGATAAAAGCCCAAACTATAGCAATGTTACAAATTACTTTCAATTCAACTGCTTCTTATGTTGGTAAAGAGAGGTGAATGCCATCTGCTTTCATACTCCCAACGCTTGTCTCTAGGACTCTCCAAAAGGGGGACTAAGGATAAAAATTAAAATTAATCTTTGTGTGTACTCACCAGGTGCAGTTTTCAGCAGCAACACGCTGGGTTTGGATGTGCCGATGCTGTTTGTTGCATGTAAGTGCACCATGTACTGGGTTCCAGGTTGCAATGGTTGAAGGCGATACGATGTCGTATGTGGGTGCGCAATTAGTGTCTTCATCTGGCAGTTTCCTGATTTATCTTGTTCCCAATGGTCATCGCTATTCTTGCGTGCCTTGAAATTGAAGCAAACCTTGTGAATTGTTTTAAGATTTTAAAAACAAAGGGCTTAACATGTACATAATGAGGTGGGTGTAATTATTAAAGAAAAATACTTTAAATAATACCTATAATACTTTTTTATACAAACCTAAAAAGTAGGTAATACAAAATGAGAATCCATGAATAATTGGTATCAGTAACAAAAATGAGAATCCATAAGTAGATGAAAAATGAAGATGGCTAAAGCACAGCAATGAGTATTTTAATTCCTTGATCTAATGCATTTTTCAAAACTATTAATATGATTATTTGTTTCTTTGGATACGATTCTTAAATCAAGCAGATTTTCAATTTCTTGGGATGAACTGAGAAAACTTACAGACAGAGGCGAGAGATGTTTTAACTCATGGTGCTAAAACAGCCCCTACTTTCTCCCCTGTATTTTCAAGCAAAATTACGTGAAAAGAACTGAATGACCTATTTCAAAAACCATCTTTAAGGAACAAATTACATTAAGGGAAAAAATCTGTACCTTCAATATTTTAGTTGAAGGAAAACTGAAAAATTTTTGAACTTTTGAAATTTTCGAAAAATCAGAGATTTTAACGTACATGAGACCTGACCCATTCTCTTAAAGGTCCTTTACACTATTCAACACCAAAGTTTAATAAAAAATGATGAAGCAATTCTTTTGAAAATTCGGAGAAAGGTCCAGGGCCTTCATGTAAATAACCCCCAAAATTGAAATTTCAATTTTTAATTCAAGGGGCCACAACAACGGGCAGATCAACAGGGGAATATCAATTTTGGAGAAAAACGTCTGAATAGTTCTAGGGCTCCCTAGGGAGAAAGTAAAAAGTGATTATAACAGTAGGAAAAAGAAAAGCAGTTTTTCACAAAAACTGAATAATGCTGTAATGGCATTATTAGGTGATGATACATGAAAATATTCTCTTAAAACAGGGTCCAATACACAAATTTATTTTATTTTATTTAAATTTATGGAAGAATGGGAAATTCAAATATTCTGATGAGTTTTTGTTTGCAAGAAAATACAATAAGTGCATTCTGTGGACAAAAGTTTATCCCATGCCCTCAAGATCCTATAAAAAATTATGTTGCTTACCGTGCACCATGTAACATAATAACTTGTAATTGGTTCTCCATTGTCTGCAGGAATGTTCCATCGTAGTTCGAAGTGCGTTGGATAGGCTGACATCACAGGTGTGTCCACTGGTGCTTCAGGATGTTCGGACATCATAGGTCTGTCCAGAAGTGGAGGTGGTTCAGGAGGAGACCTCTTGGGCATTACTATGCTTTGTGTAGCACCCCAGGGTCCTGTTCCGACATCGTTTTGTGCAGAGAACTGAAATTCATACTGAGTTTGGGGAACTAATTCTTCCAAAGTGTAGTCAGAATCTGAAAGAAGAAAAAAACAATTCTATTTGAGTAAACAGTACATGTGAAAGGTTTTATATCTCCAGACAAGCTAAGATATCTGCAGGCCCAGCTAAAATTGTCTTTTAGGTAAACGTATAACATAGAATAAAACAGAATTTACTTTCATTAACATATTTATAAAGAGTATGTGAATGAAAGAGTAAGGGTAATTTTAATTTCACACATCCAAAATTAAGATCTTGCAATCCCCCCTTCAATCCATTACAGTCCATAGAACTACACAATGTGTATAGAAAGAAACAAGAATTGTACAGTGAATCATGTCCGGAATAGAAAAACTTTGTCCTTTTGGCTCATAAAAATGCACACCCCTGCATCACTACTCAGAGTCCAGAATAGAGAAGGAATTAGGACACTTCACAGGGGTTGGACTAACCCCGGTGAAGCACGCAGACACACTTCGTTGAAACAAATTTTACATGAGCTTGTCTGGGCATCGAATCTGGACCTCCTTGGTGAATGGCAAGTGACTTCGCTCTGAGACACAAGACCCCAACATATTAAAAATAATTGTTTTCCACCCTCTTTAAAGTATATAATTTATCTTCCTGTGCTTTTTCATTTTACTTATGAAATTGGATTTTGAAGACAGTGCTAAGTTTTAGGCATGGTATGTTGTTTCAAAACGTTTGATGAAGAGATGTGCACCCAGTGCCCATGCTACGTATGGGCAGACCGGACAATCGTCCAGCACCCCATTTGTTTAAATAAAATAATTCATATAGTTTCTTGAGACACTTTCACATTTTTTATTTTTTCGTGTGTGTCGGGTTGTGTTGTGTGGGGGGGGAGGGAGGGAGAGAGAGTATGTTTCAGCATTGTCCTGATCCCCAAATTGTCTAAATGTGGCACTGTGCGTGATCTGGGCTGTCCGGGTGATGCCGCGCCAAAGGCTGTGTTGCCAACGTTTCGACCATCAGGGCTGGTATGTACCCCTTGGCAACGTTAGCAACACAGCATTCGATGCGGCGTCACCCGGACAGCCCAGATTACGCACATGACTCTGGCCGCGGAAGCCTACGACTTTAAATGTGGCACTGTTAGTACCCGAAACTGAACTATAACAATCAATGTCATTTTTAATATTATTTCATATAACAGCTTCAAATAATACAGTACAGGTCTGCTGCTGGCACACAGGCTTAGGGTAAGTGTACTCCAGTACATGAACACTAAGGCTGTGGCATTGGAATTGCTTGTCAGGCAGGATCACATTGTCACATGCTCCTTATACAGACCACTCCAGTTATAGTGAATAAAATTGAATTGAATTAATGCCTTATTTTAAGTGGCGAGACTCAGGCCATGAGACCTGCTCTTCCATCTGACCACTCAAATTTCGCTACGCTCTTTTCACCAACGAGCAGAGAAAGGAGGTATTTCTTGGGCGAGAAACAGGGGATTTGAATTTAGCTCAGAGGCAACGTCATTTAGGCTTGAGGACAAAGTACAAAGGATTTTTTCGCCCTTAAAAATCCATAGCTTCGATAGGATTTGAACCTGCCAATTTGGGTACAACAGTCTGCTATGCTAACCGTTACACTATCGCCGCGCGCGCAAACACCGTCGCTTATAATGAACTTCTAAGGACTAACATTTTTGGTTCACTACATCCGATGATGTCAACATTAAATACAATTTCTCCACAATGATTAATTTTATTAATATAAGGAAACAGTGAAATACAGTAACAGGACCAACTGAAAATTTCTATACCTTTATTTGACCATAAAAAGTAATTATTTTCAATTGTCTGCTTTGTATAGTTTTCATTGGTAATTTTTTCCAGATCCTTCTCAAATTCAAGTGTTCTCCATACTTAATTCTGCGTCATCCATTTTCTCTAAGTATAGCAGTCTTGGCACCCTCCGAAGCCTGTTGAAACATCATCCCACTCCTTGAAGAGCTTTTTACTCACATCGTAACTTAGGAGATCCCTTCAATAGTGGCAAGGCAGCAGCGGCATTGGCACGTGACTAATGGAACTGATCGCTGAACAAAACTTTCTGCTACCTCAGGAAAGACTTCTTGAATTATGACCTTTCGTAGACAATATTTTTTTTCCAATCTGCCGAGGGTTTGAATTTGTGGCACTGAAGCGATGCAATATTTTTCCAGAACATATTTACTATGTAGACAGTGTTTACTAAAACCGAATCTCATGCTTATTTGTAATGTAAGTGAAATGGGACTAGTAACTAAGTTCCACTAATTCTGAGAGTTTACTACAACCAGAGTCAACTGTATTATGCTGGACACAATATTTTAAAAAATGCATTTTCTGTAGGTCTATTTTGCTAGTTCATCATTTAATTTCATTTTGTTTGTTTAGTTTGTTTTGTTCCTCATATTACAATACATTACTCACTTCTTAAGTGTAACTCAGAGAGGAGTAATGGGGAAGATTTAGCTATATATAATTATTTAACTTAATCACAATATAATTATTTAACTTAATCACAGACAAGTGACAGTACAAGTGGCATTGAATAGTAGTTTATGAAACTATTAATAATGTTAAATTTTATTGTATCAATGTGTGTTTCGAAAATGAGTAATGGTAGGAGTGAGTTTGCAATTGTGTACAAAAACAACATTATAAAAGAGTTACATATGCAATTTTTTTGTAGAACAGCTTTAAATTTATAAGAGAATTAAAGGTAATTTTGGGAAACAACTGTATTGTGTCGTCGTGGTTATTTGACATTGTGTGAAAAAAATGTAGTCAGCTGTTCCATTTACCAATACCTGCCCACAATTTCCTTGCTGTGATTAGCTAAATGTGTCATGATGCAATTATTTGTGCCATAAATAGCAAATACTTGAAAATCATAGCTGTAAGACGTCCTTTTATGAATCACATTTTGTAAATGTTATTCATAATGTTGGATTACAAAAAAATATGTTTATATTCTTTTGGAAAATTAAAGAATTCTGACTTGTTATTACCTGCAGGCCATGAGTGGTGTCTCCACTGATCTCCCAATTCATTAGGTTTACGATATCGTACATTATAAACACGGGTTGGAATTCCACCACCGTTGCTTGGTCCCATAATTTTAAACTTTATGGTAGTAGCTGCAAAAGACAAACAAGATAAAAATATAGTTAAATTGTCACTAAAATAATTGATTGGTTGATTGATAAGTGGTTCTAGGCACATCAACAGCTAAGGTAACTCTCGTAAGTGTAATGTGTTTTTTTTCTAATCAGGAGGAGGTCTTCCCTTGATCTGGTTGGTGAGATTTGGTGCGAACCAATAGTCGGTTTGCGGACAATTCCCCAACCACGTATCTCCCACCAGCGAGCGCTACCTCAGCTGGAACAAGCTCTGAGCTTCTGACTGGTCTACTGGCGTGTGTGGTTGTGGTGTGCATGCAAGAGAAAGTGTATATAAGTAGGGGGTACAGATTAGGACAAAGAACAGGAAGAAAAGATCACCCTAGGTCCATGGCCCGTTTGTTAGGGTACTACTCCAGCGTTTGCCTGGTGTTTATCGAAGAAACCACAGTAAAGTACTGATCAGAGCCACCAGCTGTTAGTATTCTCCTCCAGATACCGACTGAACTCTACCTATCTTGCTAGTGTAGAATCTCTTGTCACTATTGGGATTCGAACCTAGGATCTCCTGGTCAGAGGCACTGCAATGGACATCAGTTTAAACCCTGTGCCACCACTTCACCATTAAAATAGAATATACAAAAATTCAGCATGAACAATAAAGCAAAAATTTTATTTTCACAAAGTGATCAAAAATAAATTTCTGATTTTTGTCCCATTACCCCTCATTAAAATTATAAGCCTGGCTGAATCCAGGTTTTGTAAACTATAATGTATAATTTCTCAATACTGCATTTTGTGACAACAGGAAATTCACACCTGTTGTATTTAACAATCTTTTGTCATGAATTGAACCTGAATTCTAGAAGTTGGCGGCTTCGATCGGTAGTTTTCTGTATTTTTTTCTGATCAACTCTAAGCGAATGCCAGAGCAGTACCCGAACAAATGGGCCACTGACCATGTGCATCTTCGCTTCCTCTTTCTTGTCCTATCCTCGCCCCTTACTTACATCTACAGTCACATGCACTACCACACTTGTTAGGAGCTTAGAGTTTGAACCAACTGAAGTGGTGCTCTGTTGGTGGGAGATATGTAGTCGGGAGAAAATCCCTTCAAGCTGGCATTAGTTAGTGTCAGATATCGCCATCCAGAAGATCACTGCCACCTCCTCACGATAAAAACAAGCTCTTCACTTACGAGACAAACAACCTTAGCAGTTGTCTTGTCTGGAAAGACTAATCAATCAATGAAAAAATTGATAAAAGAAATATTTTACCTGTCACTACATCAAATACAGCTTGCATTATATCCCCTGGTTTTTCAGCTTTGTGAAGAGTAATTTCATGTGATTCTGTCCCGAGCTTATTCTTTGCTTCACATCTGTATGCTCCGTACCTCCCTTGGAAGCTGGAAGGAATCTGCAATAAAAACATGATTGGTTCAAACCACTTTCCCATCAGCAGACATTTATTATTTTGTTAAAACTGCAGAGAAATAAACCAGAAATGTTCCTGGGAACAAAGTCGTACATAAAACTAGAGAAAGGTACGTTTATTGAGCTATAACATTATTTTCTTTCCCTTATAATCATGGTTGCGTTGTTGCAATGCCTTATTCATTCTGGATGTAAATAAATCAATAAAGTAGTAATAGAAAATATTCATTTAATTTTTCACTGTACTCCCGGGACACCTCTGGCAGCAGACTTTCAAAACATTTCTGAGTCGGATGTGTATGGGAGCTCTCTGAAGATCTCAGCAGGCAAGCGCTAGCTCCTAGGGAAGGTCAAAGTTGGCCTCGGGTGAGAGTAACGTAAGTAGATGACCAATAAGTGAAGTTTGTGCACTGACTGTCCCACTCTCAGAAGACGAAGTAATGTATAATTTTAACAATGACATTTAATGTATTATATCCCATTTGGATTGTATAATTCTAAAGAACCTGTAACAAGTATTGTGCTTCAGCTTCTGGGTCGGTAACCCCCCACCTCAGTCAAGTTTTCGTTCAGTTTCCCTGATCGTCGAGCAAATGCTGAAATAGACTCTTGTTTTGCTTCTTGACATAAATGCAACTTCAAATTAACTTCTCCCCATTGCACGCCACACACAGTTTTAACAGTTTTTGACGTAAATAAGTAAATAAATAGACCCTTTCGCTCGCCGTAATATCATACGAGATTCTTTCAATGCGGCATGGCACAAGCAGCTTATTGAAACTGATCGCTTTTCCGCGCGGCGCAGCTGGTGTCGTCCACGTAGAACACCGCGCTTTCACCTCAGAATTTAAAGAAACATCAAGCTTGAAACCGAAGCAACCAGTCGCGGGTTGCCGCTGCCAGTTGTAGCCCACACAGGACACGGCCTTCGTCACCGCAGTGAAATTGAATCAATGCAATCATGAATCAGCAACAATGATACAAGTAAGGTCCCCATTGCGCTACCTCCACCGCAGGAATACTTCGATAATTGAATTGAATTGATGTCTTATTTAACGTGGCGAGACTCGGGCCATCAGGCCCGCTGTTCCGTCTGACCACGCAAATTTCGCTACGCTCCTTTCATCAAATAGCAGAGAAAGGAGGTACTTCTTGGGCGAGAAACAGGCGATTTTGAATTTAGCTCAGAGGCGTCATTTAGGCTTGAGGATCTTTTACATGCAAGTAAATCTACTAACATGGGACAGCCGGCTTTACTTCCCCTCCGAAGGAAGGCGTACGAAGGATTTTGTCGCCCTTAAAAATCCACGGATTCGATCGGGTTTGAACCCGCCAACTTGGGTACAACAGTCCAGTACGCTAACCGTTAACATCGCCGCCGCTATTTTGATAATGACCTTCGGCCGACGACATTTTTTCCAAGCTGACCAGCAATGCACCGAAAAACGAAAGAACCGTTGAAGTATACCAGATCCTTGATACTGTAACGAGTTTCCTTGTTACAGTATCAAGGATCTGGTATACTTCATGGATCTCTTCATACTTCATGGATCTGGTATACTCCAACGGTTCTTTTTTTTTTTTTTTCGATGATGTAATTAGTGGGCTCTAAGGCTCTCTGTTTAAATCGAAGTATATTTCGTCTTCTACCTGGTTTTACATCTGCGATGTTAAACGAATAAGAGTGGTAGGAAAAGGCAACCCTTTTCAATATCAGATAAAATACAAAATTCAAAAGGTGTTAGGAATAAAGACAATGAAAATGTGGATATTGCTAAAAAAGTACGAAATGGATAGTGTAAAAATATTGAGTTTCATTTTGCTCACAATAATCTACTTCATACGTTTTTTTCACTAATACATTTTTCCCCTTCAGTGCCCTGAAAAACGTATATGTGAATTTTTACTGTAGATGAATTTTGAAGAAAAACATTGGACACTGTCAGCATCATTTTATAACAAAAAACTTACACTCCTATGCAATAAAACCTAGTATGAGCATTTGCAAATGAGCTACATCTGCACAAGAGATTTGATTCAACAGCATTGCTGATGAATATTTAAACCATCTGCACAATTTCCAATACATTTGTATTTATATTCAAGTTTTTTTTGGATTCAATGCTATCAATTTAATCCAGGTATATAAATTATTGTAATAAAATATTAATTGAGAAAGCACCTGTATATAAATTATTATATTAAATGTAATAGTCTCTCTAGTAAACACAGTAGCTTATCCTCCACCTCCGTGTCCTAGTTGATACTTCTTTGAAGATAAATAAATATCTTGTTTTCTAATTTTTAGTGAGGACAGTGAAACAAATGACATACAGAAAAGCCATAACGAAATAGAAAGATTGTACATACTTCAAGCCATGATTGTGGTCCTTCTCCATGCTTTTTAATCTCTGGTATTTTATCTTTGTCAAGATCACGATTGTTGTAAAACCAGCGAATCGTGGCATTGGGAATGGATTCAGCAAGGCAAGTTATGTTAGCTATCTGACCATCCCATGACCAATAGTCTGCGTAAGGAGTGTTGACAAACGATGGTTTGAATTCCACTGTTAAGTGTCCAAAAGACTCAGCTTCACCGGCCTGTAGGAAGAGATAATTATTTTAACACATTAGTCATTACATTAAATAAATAAATTAGAGAAAATAAAAAAAACATTGAATTTATGAAATTAAAATTGATTTCTTTGTTTCATTTGCAACATTTTTATTAAAACTAGTGGTGCTATAACAGCACATACTCTCTATCTCTCTTCTTTTTTTTTTTTTGTAATGGATATGTAAACTACATAAATGAAATTGAAATATGTTTTTAGATTTGAAATTACGATCTTTTTATACTTCATGTGGCTTTTTATATGACGAATAAACATATTTAATTGTTATTACAACTTTTGTCTGTTTCTTTGTAAAAGTTAACCTCAGTTACTGTAAACAGATTATGATAGAGGTTTCATTGAAAGGTGAAGTATTTTGCATTTTGAGTATAATTTAGTCTGCTTTTTAAAAAATATTATTTTCTATAGCAGAAAGAAGAATGTCTTTTCATATTTCAGTTTAAAAACATAGTTATATTTTGATCTTAAGAAGGCAGGCATCTTAAGGTTTTTGGATATAACTATTAGGTGCAAAATGCTAAAATACATCATGCCTGTCATCAGAGCATTTTAGTACCATGGTCAGGAGCTTAGCACTGTTAGTAACTGGAGTTTCCCAGATGGTCACCAATCCAGGAATTCATGGTAACTCGAATTTTGTAGCTTCTGCTACTTTAAGAAGCATAGTTAAACAATTTGGATCCTGGATTGGTGATAAATTGAACTACTCTAGCACTCCAGTGTTGGTTATATTGACAATTTTTCCATTAAAAAAAGTAGTAAAACCTTTAGATCTTAGTTAAAGAGCAAAGTGAATATGTACTTTAATAAATAGCTGGATTTATCATATGTTAAATTAGTTTTGGTTTTACGATGTGGGTTTATTTACTAATGTCACTTTGTGAATTATTAACATTTCAACTCTGCAACACATGAACGTTTTATTACAAGTAGTAACTTCAATAATTAAAATACAAATATTTCAGACACATGAAAACTACTTTCATGTGCTTCAAGCTCAGATTTTGCTACTATGAAGAAAGTATAATTTAAAGGTGCAAGTACAAATTCACTAACATCAAATAAAATATATTTCCTAGATCTACATGTTCCATAAAATGTATTATTAATTAACATCATTTAACTTACCGGATTTGTGGCAACACAAGCATACAGACCATCATCAGAGCGCATTACTTCATCCCACGACAATATTCCATCAGCACGGTCAGGGTGCTCTTTTCCAGCAGGTTTGCTACTAGTGGCTATTCTTGGATCAGCACCCTGTAAAAAATTATTGTATAATATTGCACGCTTTAATATCATCCACACACTAATTTTCCTAAAGCATCGTACAATAAGAAATGAAACAATAAGGATAGTAAAAATATAAATTAAATTTACACAACTTCAGAAAGATCAGGATGGCAAAAATAATACAATATGATTTCTAACGAAAGGTGAAAAAACAGACAAGAATGGAAAGAAAACAAGTAGAATAATGCAGAAAGAAGCAAAAGAAGAGAATACAAAGGAAAAAGGGACAGCAAAGCAATCTACAGAAAGAATACAAAAAACATGTATTTTAAAATTGTGGATACCAGAAGAGGTTGTGTGAAAGAGGGAGAAGGGATCTAGTTAAGAGATGTACAGACATCACAGGAATGTAAAGGAATAAAAAATGAATGATGATTTATGTAAGAGAATGGGAAGTGAATAGAGAAGGCAACAGAGGTGAGAAGGGGCCAATATAAAGAAAAGAAAAACGTTTGGAAAAAGAAATAAGAATAGAAAATAGTAAGAGGTTAAGAAGAAAAGAGGAGTGATAACTAATGGGAAAAAAAAGGGAAACCAAATGGTGAGGTGAGACACGATGAAAGATGAAAGAAGAACAAAGATGAGCACACAGAAAATGAGAGAACTGAGAAAAGCGGAGAAGAAGCAGAAGATGGAAAAAGAGATGAAAAAGAAAGAAGAGGAAATAAGATGTAAGAGAGTACATTTAATTCAATAAAAATGGGAAGAAGAGAGATGGGAGCATAAGAGAAGGGAAGGAGAGAGAGAGAGAGAGAAAGAGAGAGAGAGAGAAAGAGAGAGACAGAGAAAGAGAGAGAGAGAAAGAGAGAGACAGAGAAAGAGAGAGAGAGAAAGAGAGAGAGAGAAAGAGAGAGAGAAAGAGAGAGAGGGAGAAAGAGAGGAGATAGAAAGAGGAGAGAGAGGGAGAAAGAGAGAGAGAGGAGAAGATAGATAGAAAGAGAAGAGGGAGAAAAGAGAGATAGAAAGAGAGAGGGAGAAAGAGAGATAGAAGAGAGAGGGAGAAAGCAGAAGAAAGGCGAGAAAGAGAGAAGGTGAGAAAGAGAGGGATGAGAAAGCAGAGGAAACGAGATATGAGGAAAGAGAAAGAGAGACAGGCTGAGAGGACAGTGCGAAGCCTCACCTGGCGCGCCCGCCGGGGCGAGCGCGTCGTGCTGTCGCCGTGGCGGCGCCACGCCACCGTGGCAGGGGCCGGCCCGTGGCGTGGCCACAGCAGCTCTGCCTTGGCGCCCTCGCCTGTGCGGTGTCGTTGCGCACCACCTTGGCGCGCGGCGGCACCTGCACCGCCAGCCGCACCTGCTGGCGCGCCTCGCCGCTCGGGTTGCTCGCCACGCACCAGTACAGGCCCTCGTCGTCCGCCTGCACCGGCGACACGTGCAGCGCGCCCGTGATGCCGTCCACCTGAGAGGACAAAGCCCAATTTATTTCATTATTGGTCGACTTTTTCGATTATCGACTTTTTCGACTATCGACTTTTTCGACAATCGACTTTTTCGACAATCGACTTTTTCGATTATCGACTTTTTCGATTATCGACTTTTTTGATCATCAACTTTTTCGATTATCAACTTATTCGTTTGCCGACTTATTCGTTTGCCGACTTTTTCGATTATCGACTTATTTGTTTGCCGACTTTTTCGATTATCGACTTATTCGTTTGCCGACTTTTTCGATTATCGACTTATTCGTTTGCCGACTTATTCATTTGCCGACTTACTCGTTTGTCCACACCTAATAAATTGAAAAAAATGTACACAGCTTTTAGAGTCACTCAGCAACATTATATCTAAGCTCCAACCCAACTCCACATTCTACGCAGGGGTTGATCCCGCACCACTACGGACTCGGGGGCGCACTTTAAAGTTGTGTACATTTCATTTTAAAATTATTTTGATGCAGATCATATTATCGAGTATTACATATTCATATTAATGTCTTCATGCTTTTTTTTAATTTCAATTTTACATTAGCACTGATGGTGGAATTAAAAGATTCAACAAACAGTTGAATTGTGTAAATTCCGACCAATTCGGTGAACTACATTCCCATTATTATTATTATTATTATTATTATTATTATTATTATTATTATTATTATTATTATTATACCATTATATTATTTATGTGCAATTTATATTACGTTATTTATGTAATGAGATACCACCGTATTATACCCAACTGCATTTAAATAAATCTATCTTGATTAAATTGAAGTGCACTCACGTTGAAGCGGCCGCCCTGCTTGGCCAAGTCTTGCCCCGTGCGCTGGTAGATCCAGGTGTAGGTGGGCGGCGGGCGCGCGTCGGCGTGGCACTCGACGGTGCCGTCGCGGTTCGCCTGCACCGTGGCCGCCCGCTCCTCCTCGCCGAACGACGGCGGCACTTGCACCTGCAACCGCCCACGCAACCCGACACGCTTACATACAAGCGCAGTAAGCAGGAAAAAAACATAAAAGAGACAGGGAAAAAATGGGTTGATGTCTCCGGGCACGCCAACGTTAGTCCTGACCGTTACCTTCATTTCGAGCGTCGCTTTTTCTCTCGGTCCTTAGTGTCAAAAAGTTCTGTATATACCTAGTTTTGGTTTTAAACACTAATTACCTGGAACCTCCCACACAATCCCACGCCCTCCACACACTTAGATATAAGCGCAGAGGAAAGTAATAAAAAACATACAAAGGAGAGAGAAAAAGACCAAGATAGAAGCGAAAAAAAGATGGGTTGGTGTCTCCGAGTACCTCAACGTTAGTCCTGACAGTTACTTTCACCACGATCGTCGCTTTTTTCTCTCGTTTCTCACGGTGCTTGGAGTAAAAAAGTTCTGTATATCCCTTGCTTTGGTCTTAAACACTAATTACCTGTAACCGCCCACGAAAACCCACGCTCACCACACACTTGGGCAAGAAAAAAAAACATATAAAGAAGAAAGGAAAAGACGAAGTGAAAAAAGATGGGTAGATGTCTCCGGGCACGTCAACGTTAGTCCTGACAGTTATCTTCATCTCGATCGTAGCTTTTTTCTCTCGTTTCTCACGGTCCTTGGAATAAAAAAGTTCTGTATATCCCTTGATGTGTAGGAGGTAGGGTCTCAATTTTATGTCTGATCTATTTATCAAGCTTTCAAATGAGCCTTCAACAGCCTCTGTTAATGATCTTGGAGTCTCACAATGGGTACCAAACTTTAAATGTTTATATATTACGATGACACATGACATTTGATTTCGTAAAAACGTATAATGTAATTTAACAAAGGATGATAGTAAAGCACATAGTGGAAGCAGAACATTATTTTTAAACTACATCCTCGCCCAATTTCTAAATTCTGAGGAAAATTCTAGGAACGCCCCCAAACAATGAGTAAAAAATTTATGTAGTACTCTTGGATCGCTCCATCTATTAATTAAGCGCGTTAAATATATATCACTTTATTAACGGGAAATTTACGTTGGCAATTTGTAACGACTAAACCTAATCTAACCAGCGATACAAGGCCGCTTTCATTATTTTACGAACAAGCCTCCAATAATGTTGCTCCCGTGTTTCATAATATAATACATTATTGACAACGTAGGAGGGGAAAGCAAAAATTTCCCGATGTTAGCTAATGAACTGTTATCAAAGGCAAGCTGAATAAAAGAAGATAATCATCAAATACTTGTGGCATGTATTCAATATGAAATTTACAGAGAAAACTATAGTACCATTGAGGAATGGCTTTAAACAACGCAATTAAATAGCTAAAGGAAGGTGTAGTTATTTTTGGAAAGGGGGAGCTTTTATTTAATTATGATTACTTCTAAAATAAAAGACGAAACTAATACATTTTCAGAGCGTTTAAACTATGTTAATCGGTGGCAACGAGGTGTACATATTTTTCTGAGGAGATTTCGGAATTTTTTCGTTAACACAAACCTTTAAGGAAAATATGTAAAGCCATCTTGTACCGTACTCTTATACTTTTGAAGCACTTGAAAAACAGACATGCCATTTCCGTTAATCATGATCCTTGTAATACACAGAAAAAATTAAATTGAGCAAAAGAGCATTTATCGCCAAGAGTAGATATAAAGTGCTAACTGCCTCGTTTGATTTTAAATATTTTTAAATAAATTTGTTGACCAATTCGAATTTTGGGTAATTTTTTCGTGATCTCAGAGAAATTTTAATTAATAAGAACGTTATAATAGCTTTACAAAAAACTCGATTTAAGGATCGATTCAAAATCATTTAACCAATATGATTGCAGGTAATAACAAATAATCATCAAATACTTATTATTTTCAATGAGATACTCAACTTCGTACAAGGTTACTTCTCTAAAATAAAAATCCAACCTTCGGCTCTCACCAAAATAGGTAAGCCTCAATAAAAAATGACCTAGAAAGTAAAAATAGCCCACTGAAGCATTCACATTGACGCCGCTGTGATTGATAGATGGAAACCACGGATTATGTTTCCCGTTAAAGGACTGTCAAAACTCTCGTCGTAAATAAAACGTTCAGAATATACGCGTTTACTGACACATTTCGGGCCCGTATCATCCCCGACGAGATCGAGGCGACGCGACAGCTGAAGAAGACAAACGACGCCGAAGAGGCTCGTCTTCTGTTGTCGACTTCCCGCCGACCGTCTAGATCGCGCCACTAACTCGTCTCGAATCAAATAGTTTATACGGGGATTATCATTCATGGCGGCGTCTGAAAGGCTCTGTGCATCGTTTGTTACTTCTTTCGCTGATTGGGAAGATGCAACGCGACAATCTACACGGGAGATGGCGAGAAACTGTTTTATGCCCTCCGACTGACAAGATGGCGTCGCTAACTCGCCTCGTATAGCGTACCTAAGAAGGTTCTTATTTACGGCGTCATTGGTAAGATCATATTATGGTGTTAGGCGGCGTCTGTAGAGAAGAAGAAGGTAAAGGTAGTTGAGTGTCAAGTGCAGAGAGCGTGCGGACCTCAAGCTTCATGGCGCACGTATGCAGTTAGCCCGTTGCCAATTCGATGGCGCGGCAGGTGTAGAGAGCGGGATCGGAATGGAGAGGCAGTTCAGGAAACATCACACAGAGAGCGTAATTGAGAGCGCGTGCACCTGCAACTTGATGGCGCGCGTCTGCAGCTCGCCCGTGGCCACGACGATGCCGCGTCAAGTGTATAGATCGGGAAACGAAGGTGAAGGTAATTGAGTGTTACTAACAGAGAGTGCTAGCACCTGCAACTTGATGGCGCGCGTCTGCAGCTCGCCCGTGGCCACGGCGATGACGCGTCCAGTGTATAGACCGGGATACGAAGGTCAAGGTAGTTGTGTGTTAATTGAAGAGAGCGTAATAGAGAGCGCACCTGCAGCTTGATGGCGCGCGTTTGCAGCTCTCCCGTCGCCACGACGATGGCGCGGCAGGTGTAGACGCCGTCGTCCTCGGGCGAGGCGCTCTCGATGGCCAGCCCGTCCGTCTCGGGCCGGTAGCGCTCGGCGAGCGGCGCGCCGTCCTTCTGCCAGTCCACCGTGGCCGGCGGGTCCGCCTCCACCTGGCACTTCACCTTGTAGGGGCTGCCCTGGCGCGCCACCTGCTCCTGCGGCGCGTCCACCCACCGGATCGCCCCTGCAACGCGCGGAGCGGATCAGTGGGGGGTCTAGGGTAGGCAGGGTAGAAAAATATGGAGGGGGAATCTGGATGTGGAGGGAGGGGAAGTGAGAGGGTAGAGGGAGGGGGAGTGAGAGGACACAGGGAGGGGGAGTGAGAGAGCGGAGGGAGGGGAAGTGAGAGGGTAGAGGTAAGGGAAGTGAGAGGGCAGAGGGACGGGAAGTGAGAGGGTAGAGGGAGGGGAAGTGAGAGGGTAGAGGGAGGGGAAGTGAGAGGGTAGAGGGAGGAGAAGTGAGGTGGATACATAGAGAGCAAGCGGAAGGAAAGATATAGGATGAGGGGGCAGAGGGGGATAAATAGGGAGCAAGAGGATGGGGCTTTTAAGATTGAGACGGCATAGAGTGGATAGTGTTAGAATGCGAAGGGGAAGATTCACAGAGAAAGAGAAGAGGGGGATAGATAGGTAGTAGGCGGAAGGGAAGATTTAGAGTGAGAGAGCAGAGGGGGATAGGTAAGTACGATGCGAAGGCGAAGATTTACTGAGAAGGCATAGGGGGATAGAGTTAGCTTGCGGAGGGGAAGATTTACAGAAAGAGAGGGAAGAGTGAGGATAGAGAAGTAGCATGCGGAAGGGAAGATTTAAAGTGAAGAGGGAAGAGCAGCGACAGGTAGAATGCGGAAGGGTAGAGAGAGAGAGAGAGAGAGAGAGAGAGTAATGAAGAGATGAGAGAGCGAAGAAAGGAAAGAGGATAGAATAATAGAAAAGTGGAGACTGATGGGATGGGGGGGGCAGAGAGAGAGAGAAAGGAGAGAAAGGCAAGTGTGCAGACGAATATGGGATCGGAGAGGTAAAGATCTAGGAGAAAGCAAGAGTGAAAGAGTGATGGGGCGAAGAGAGAAGGAGAAAAGTGAAGAGGGAAGGGGTAAAAGACAATGAAAGAGGCAGAAGGCAGAGAAAGAAATGGATAAATGGATAGCGAAGTTTGACAAGGGAATATGTAAGAGAAAGGAATACGAAAGTGGTGGGAAACGGAAGAGAGTGGAAGGAACAAGTTGGAGCCGGGACAACGGTACAAAAAGAGAGAAGGAAATGGAGGGAACGGTGAAAAGGGGGAGACGGGAAGTGACAGAGAGAGCGAGGGAAAAGTAAGTCACAGGAGTAAGAGTGAAAGACTGTGAGCAGAAAGACCAAATAGAGAGGGAGGGAGAAAGAAGTCAATACAGGTTTAGGGGAAGGTGAAAAGGAGAGTCCGAGACGGGAAGACAAGGAAGGGGGAGTGAGAAAGGGACAGTAAGGTGAAGACACGCGAGGTAGATGAGGGGAGAAGAATGAAAGGAATGCAGACTAGAGAGGAGAGAGAAAAGGGAGGGAAAGCCAGATGAGGGACAGGGAGGAGAGATGCAAGAGAGAGGGGAAGTCAGGCGACCCAGACTGAGAGACGGAACATAGAAGTTAGAGGGGGTGAAAGAGGAGGGGGGGGAGTTCCAGGAAGAGCATACAAGAATTGGGTAGATTGATAGAAAAAAAATATTAGCGCGGCCCTGGAGAAAATAGCGTCTCCGCGCGAGCACACACACACACACACACACACACACACACACACACACACACACAGTTACTTACTGATGACGCGTATCTCGACGGTGCGCTTGAGGTCCTGTCCGCCGGCGTACTGGCCCTCGCACGTGTACACGCCCTCGTCGTTGCGCGTCAGCGACACGAAGATGAGCGACAGCGACCCGTCCGAGCTGAAGCGCTCGGCGTACACGGGCGGCTTCGACACGGCGGACACGCTCGGCCGCGACACCTGCGCGCACACGCACACGCACACCGGCCATCGCACGGGGACGTCGGCTCAACGCGCAACAGAGCGCTCATTCACTAGTCTTTAAGAAAACTAGCCATTCGGGAACTCAGCCAGCGGATGAGAAATGGGTGGAACATGCAACAGGGCGCTAACTGGCCAGTCTTTAAGAAAACTAGGTAGAACATGCAACAGGGCGTTAAGTGACCAGTCTTTAAGAAAACTAGGTGGAACATGCAACAGGGCGTTAACTGACCAGTCTTTAAGAAAACTACCCATTCAGAATCTCAGCCAGAGAATGAGAAATGGGTGCAACATGGAACAGGGCGTTAACTGGCCAGTCTTTAAGAAAACTATTCATTCAGATGAGAAATGAGTGAATGAGAAATTGGTTGAACATGCAATAGAGCCCTAATTAACAAGTATTTAAGAAAACTATTCATTCAGGAACTCTGACAATGAAAAATTGGTTGAACATGCCATAGAGCCCATTTAAGAAAACTATTCATTCAGGAACTCAGCCAGCGAATTGGCTTTGTTCGACTGTGAAGCTGTGTGGTTAACGCAAGGCTTTGAATGTAAATGACCGTGAAGTTGCGTGGTTAACGCACAGTTGTGATGCTGTTTGGCTGTGAAGCTGCATGATTAACGGACAGCTATGATCGAGTATAACTGTAAAGCTGCGTGGTTAACGTATAACTGTGACGGTGAATGACAGTGAAGCTGCGTGGTTAATGGACAGCTGTGATGGTGTTTGACCGTGAAGCTCCGTGGTTGACGGACAGCTGAGGTGTTTAACAGCGTGATTATAGCAAAGCTGTGACGGTGAATAACCGTGAAGCTACGTGGTTAACGGACAGCTGTGACGGTGAATAACCGTGAAGTACGTAGTTAACGATAAGCTGTGACGGTGAATAACCGTGAAGCTGCGTGGTTAATGGACAGTTGTAATGGTGTTCGACAGTGAGGCTGTGGTCAACGCACGGCTGTGATGGCGTTTGACTGTAAAGCTACGTGATTAACGGACAGCTGTGACGGTGTTTGACCGTGAAGCAGCATGGTTAACGGACAGCTGTAATGATGTTTGACCGTGAAGCTGCGTGTTTAACGAACAGGTGTGACGATGTTTGACCGTGAAGCCACATGGCTAACGGACAGCTGCGACGGCGCGTCACCGCGAAGCCGCCCGGTCCATCCACAGAGGCCTGTGGGTGCTCACCTCGTTGCCGTTGGGCGCGCGCCAGCGCAGGCCGGTGACGAGGTTGGCGCCCGTGCCCTCGGGCCGGCAGGTGAGCAGCGCGTTGCGGCCCTCGGGCTTCACCTGCGACGGGTTGCGCGGCAGGATGACGAGCGACGGCGCGTCCGCCACCACCTCCGCCGCCCGCGCCCCCGCCGCCGCGCTCCACGCCACCCCTGCACACACACACACAAACACAAACGGTGTAAAAAAAGAAGAAACCGCAGTTAATACTAGAAAAAAGTTATTTATATCACGAGCATTTAACAACGAAGTCGAAAGGTTAATTGCGCGGTGAAGAGACAGTGAAGCCAAACTTAGAACTTTACACAGATGGGAGGACATACCTGGGTGGGGAAAAACCCTTCTAGTCGATGAGTAGGTCGGCGCGACCGTTTAGCGGGGGATGATCACCGTCATCAAGTGCGATAAAAACGTGCACTACCCTTTCGGGACTAACCCCCTTAGCAATCGACGCACCGTCCGGAATTACTAACCAATCAATGATAAAAAATAGTTATTTATGTCACGAGTCATCGAAATGAGTCTTTAAGAACGAAGCCGGAAGATTAATTGCGAGGTGGAGCGAAAGTGAAGCCGAACTTAGAACTTTTCCCAGATGGGGCAGCGTCCTGCAGGGGGACATACCTGGTTGGCGAAAAACCCTTGTAGTCGATGAGTATCTCACCATTTAGCGATCACCATCACCAACCGCGATGAAAACGTGCACTACACTTTCGGAACTAACCCCCCCAGCAGTTGACGTACCGTCCGAAATTACTAATCAATCAATCCATCAATGTTAAAAAATAGGCTCTCATATGCCGGTGTTTAATACATTGATACTACAAAAGGAAGGCCGCTTTGAAAACATGACGTGGTGGCTGTCGCATGCCTGGTGCCAGTGGGACGGTCGTGTGGGAGACCAAGGAAGAGACGGCCGTCCGTGGGAGGACGAAGACGTCACGTCCTGTGCGGCCGACGCCTCGCCGGCCCTG